AGAGCATTATTTGCTCTCATTCTCTTTCCTCCACCTTTTGTCTTCATTTAGACTTTGAACACGAGAATTAAATGTCAGCTTTGTGTTTTGGTTCACCTTTGTGAAATAGGGCTAAGCAGTGATGGAAGGATAGGCATGCCTGTTACATCAGTATACTTTGATTTGTTTGTGTGTTCCGCCCAGTGACTTTACTTTGAAACTCTTCCACAATCCACAATTGTGATTTTTTAATTATTTAAAGATGAATTAGTGGATGTAGAATAAACCATAATGATGCTGCTCTTTTAAAAAAGTAGCAACCATTTAAGCTATTTACAACAAGTAGCTAACTGCAGGTATTTAAGTTTGGCAACATATTTTAACATGTATCATTATAAATATATATGTATAAATAACATTTTATTTACATTATATAATAATTTATGAATAACTTAATTATATTGACAAGAAGCTAACTGTGTTGAAGATATTTAAGGCAGGCAACATGTTTTGCATGTCATTGTAAATATTATAGCCTACATTATTTTATTAACACTATATAATTGTATCTATTATTAATCATAACTCCATTAGCTTTAATATAATTAAAAAGGATGGTAGCTAACTCCATTGAAACCATTTTAGGTGCACAAAATATGTTTAGCCTACATATAATTATAAATATATATTTTTTCATTCATATTATTAGATTTTTATTTATTTAAAAAAGTAGTAGCTACTGACTGCATTCAAATTTATTTTTTAAACAGAAGAGTCTAAAAAAATTGGAATTTTTAGCTGGTGCTTTACAAGCATTTTAAATTATGCATTGTTGTGTTGTGTTTTAGGGTTAAAGGAAATGGCCATAACTTAACAGATCATTTCCAGGCAGAAAATTAACAGTACTTTGTTTGTGTATATACAGTACCTATAAAATACTTACAACTTGAATTATATAATTGTATAAGGGCGTTTTAGTTATATAATAATAAATAGGAGAGTGTTTTATTTTTTAAACTTATTGCAGAAGTAGCATGTTACCAGAAAAGCAACAGTATATTTTAAGTAGATTAGCTGCTGAAAAATGTAGTAAGGTTAGTAGTGTCACTACTTTTAGTTAGTTACTCCCCAGCCATGGAGGCTGAGGCGGTAGATTAGATATTCTTTTCAATTTGTAAGCCAAAGCTGTATACTACATTGAGGCAAGAAGCAGGGAATCTAATGAAAAGTTACATAATGGTCTGCGTGTTTGAGTGTGATAACTTCATTTTAACGTAACTGGATTAGAGTGCTCCCAAGCAAAATGAGAGAATATTCAGGTTTTCTGTAAATAAGGTGCTGAAGAACTGCAGCATTTCTGTTGGAGAAACTGTTCAGCGGAACAGCAAAACTGATAGGATCTTTCATCATGTCCTATCACTGTAGTTCAGCAGGTGTCCACTCCAACCAGGTGATTTACCCCATTTCAGGCAAATGAAAAAAAAACATGCTTAGTGCATCATCTTGAGACTGATGAAGCTCTTTCCCTTTCTCTCTTTCTCTCTCTCCCATCTCATATTCCTCAACACCACCTCAAGCAGCCTGAGGTGTGAACCCTGAGAGCTCACAGCAATCCTCCTTCACCACAGGACAGATATTTTTGAAACTGGAGACTGTGGACTCTTGGATGAGTGTCAGACCTGACTAGCGATTCATTGTAGCTGGAGGTGCAGTACGATGTAACGGCACACTCCAAATTGAAGGTATCCTTTAGTCCTGACCTTGCACCCAATGCACAAAAATTGGACCCCATCTCAGACTTAGTTCGTTTGGATCAGATCAAAGTCTGCTTTTATCAGTGCCCGATGGCGCTCTCTTTTGCCACTTTCTGAAGAATAAGCATATGCTTTCCATCCAGCTTCATTCCTTCACTTATCTAACTGGGTAATTGGGTATTCCAGTCTCTTATTCTGCAGTCATGAACGTTAAACAGGAATACTGTTTATGGTAATGATTCTTCCATAAGCACCACACAATGCGTGTAATTATGTGACTCCGTCTAGTCAAATTGAGATGAGAGCAAATTTCTAGGGTTTCATTAAGATGGCAATTTCTTGGAATTACTGAAAATTCCGGAGGCAAAATGGCTGCTGAGATTAGAGGAGGTTGCTTGAGAATTACTCATTTCTAAACCATCTGCTTCTTGAATTACACATTAGCCAAACTGTTGGTTCACAGTGGACTCTTATTGAATTACGGTTCAGTCATTGTGTTAAGGGCGGCCCAACACACCAGCGCACCTCAGAACGTGGCATGATCGCGGACCTCAATCTTCTTTCTCATCGCTGTGGCTGAGCTCCGCACACCCCTTCATTTATCTTCAGGCTGTAGAGGGTGGAAAGGAGAAAGAGGGCATTAAAATCACTTGAAGCTGAATGGGAACAGACAGTCCTGTCCCGGTCTTCACTCCATTTGTTAAGTTATGTTAATTCCTATCAAATCCATTCGGTGAGAGAATGACCCAAGCAGGCATCAAGCCCATCTGCGTTTGTGGACAAACCGGCAATGGTATCTTGCAGCAAAGTGGATGGGGAAAGAGGTTTAAGAGAAAGAGCGATCTCTGTTTATCTCTCCATCCAGAACACATATTAACATCTTAATAGGAATGTGAGTTAAATCACGTCTTTAGACCCTCCCTTCCTTTTGACAAGCGTGAATTAGGTGTCAAGCAGATTCCCACTGACTTTAATTGAATCTGCCTTCCCTCCCAAAAAGGGAAATCTGAAGTCAAACTAGCCTATTAGGTTGATCAAGTCATGTTTTGTTGGGTTTGGCAGCATCATCCCTACATCCCACCCCCACCCTTCTCACACAGGAGTTGTTTATGAGGTGAGATTGGGTGGGATGTTGTACAAGCACACCGCTCTGTGCTTTCTCGCTTTTCGTTATCCTCTAATAAGTTGTGGCCTGCCGTTTTTGTTTTTTGAACTCCCCCAGGAAATCCCCTCAGCTCTCGGGCTCAGGCCACAGATGAGAGCGGGAGATTGCCGTGGGTAAACACGGGAAGGCTGATCAACTCCTCGTGACTGGATTACCAAGCGTCGGATTGCTCAGTCGAGACATCCTTCCCCTCGCTTCCTTTCCCTTCTCATCGCGTTTTTTTATCGAGTGAGATGTTTGGAGTGGGGATGAGCCTGTGGACTGATAAAACAGGACATGGACCGTGAGATGTAGCAGAGAGTTCACATGCTCTACTCCCTGTTGGGTGTTCCCAGGGCTTGATTTTTCTTCAAACTAAGAGATTTCAGGTTTTTCTGTTATGGTATGTAAAAAGGTCACATTAAACCCGCCTCGGAAAACTCATTATCATTCCTCCATTATTTATATTTGCTGCTCAGATGCCTTTTATGTATAGAAATAAATATTATTTAAAAAATGATATTTTATGATGTTTAAAACTATTATAATGTAAACAAAGAGTTGACGTATGCAAATCATTTCAATATTTATTGTTTGAAAATGATTTGTCAGTTATTTAAGTTATTTCGAGTTATTTCCACCTCGCTCATCAGTAAAGAAGATGCTTGAGAAATGAGACTTGTCATGTGTGGGAAAAACATAAAACAAGTTGTTAACAAAACATTTTTGTGTCATTCCCAGTCAAGCTGTAATTGTCAAATTATGCACAAATATTTATTTGTTTGTATTTAGGATACATAAAATGCTAGCTATGAAATAAAAAATTTAAATTTGCTATGGTGCAAATCTCAGAGGTGTTGATAATTAACAGGTTTAGTGACATGGAGATCTTTCATGTCTTTCGTTGGCCGGCTCTGGAGTGATGTCTCCTGTCTATTTTCTCTCAGTACTTCTCTTCAAACTCTTTAATTTCCGAGCCGAGTGTGAGATATTGATGAAAGATTTTGCTCCTCCTTTGCTCTGTGAAGAACCAATCAAGTCCACAAACCAGCATTAACTTTGGGTTGTCATGGATCCCTACACTTGATCAATAAACTTCACATATCATTACGCCGCGCAGCCTCAGAGGCCTGCCTTGTTCTCAGGGTGAAATGGAATGAATCTTTGTTAAAAATTGCTTGTGATTCGCACTTTTAGTCTTGAGGGCAAAGTGTATTTCTTTAGCTCTGGCTCCAGCTCACAGTTTGTGCCAGATTCATTTGAGTTATAGTCAGGACTGCAGTTGACAGAAGAATATAAACAACAAGGCCTGTGTCTTCAGAGCTCCACTGTCACTCTCGTAAATGTTTAAGCTATTTTCACTCTCACACTTTCTGTTTGCATCAGTTCTGCTTGTTGGTGCCTGTCAATAATTTGGAGGTCTTAATCCAGAGAGGTGGATTTTAAAGATACTTGAATCCCTATTGCAGGCTTACACACATCACAAAACATTTTTTTTTAAATCTACATGCATGTAATTTCAACATGTATGCTGCTTATGTTTTACTGTATGATTTAAATGTTCCTCATTTATTAACTAAATGTTTTTATTACTAAATTCTGTTCTTTCTCTTCACATGATTTACTTATTTCCAGTAATATTTCCAATTTCACGTTATAGCTAATCAAAATGATTCTGAGTAAGATTAGTACTAATGTCTTTTTCCATTATGGAATCGTAAAATGAATATATGTGTATCTTGTCTAAAAAAAAATTCCATTTGGTTGCACTAGAGTCTATTCTTATAATACATTAAAATATGTACCTTATAATTTACCTCATAATCAGCTGTATGTTATTTAACCATAGTTATAATACAAATTATTAATATCATACACTACTGTTCAAAAGATTTTTGAAAGAAATGAATACATTTATTCCACAAAGATGTATTAAATTGACTAAAAGTGACAGTAAAGACATTTATAATGTGACATATTTAAAAAAAAAAATGCTATATATATATTTTTTTTCACCGAAGAATCGTGAAAAAAAAAAAGGCTTCATATGCAGTGTTACTTTAAATTTTCTGTTTGTTGAAACTGTTGCAAGTAACACATCATCTCTTGGCTCTTTCTCTCAGATTCACAAGCAGGAACAGAAGCACAGAGATCGTTGGACCATGCGGTTATTGGAGGCGTGGTGGCCGTCGTGGTCTTCGCCATGTTGTGTCTTCTCATCGTTTTGGGACGATACTTTGCAAGACACAAAGGTAATTCAGCCCCCAGTCTGTCTTTTGGCACATTTCTAAGGTCAATAGACTTTCTAATTATTTTGGATAAGATTCTGAATAGGGAAAGAAGTCATTCTGCTGTCGAAGCTCTGCAGGTGCTTTGAATTGGCCCGTGGCTACGACCACATTAAGGCCAGTATCCCTCTGAGTGCATCGCGCTGTTGTGTTCTGTAATATAAAGTGGGCGCAGCATCTCTGCATTTCATCAGGGCTACTGCCTTCATTATCACGCCACAGACTGAGAGGATGGGAATAATCCCACTCGGAAATGAAGTTTGAAGTGGATCGCTTATTCCCACCTCCTTGTAACACTTCCCAAGGTTGATTCTAAAGCACAAAGTCAAACCAAACCCAAACCTGGAGAGGATGTTATGGAAATTTCCTGAATTATTAGCCACAAATAACACGTTTATTCTTCTGAGTATGTGTCAGACTCAGTTTTAGTTTCTTTCTTGTTTGTTTTATCAAATAGCGCTCGATCTAGAGGGTCAGGTTTCGTTTGCCGTGCTGTAATCAAAGTGTCTCCATCATGGGGTATTAGTTTGGGAACGTGTTACCTTTTGTTTTCTTACATGAAAGACATTATAACGCAACCAAGTGCAGCGTGGTGAAATTAATGGCTTATTTATGGGCAGGTAAAGTCCCATGAAACGACCCTCACTCTAAATTAGAGAAGCTGCTCCAGATGGTCTTTAATCTCTTTTAAAACCCTGCAATTGCATCAATCAGAGGCCCTGGGGTGCTGGAGATATTGCTTTTATCAACACGCTTTTCTTTAAAACCCACACAGGCACCTACTTCACACACGAAGCCAAGGGGGCAGATGACGCGGCGGACGCTGACACGGCCATCATCAACGCCGAAGGGGGCCACAACAACTCGGACGAGAAGAAGGAATACTATATCTGAGTCCCGAGGCCTCTGTTGTTCTTAATATTTTCTTTTGTTTTGTTTTTGGCGGGAGGGGGTGGGGCATGGGGGAACTGAGATTACTGAGTTTTTGTTTATTTGTCAGTTTGTTTGAATTTCTTTCCTTGGGATTGAATGACGTAGAATGCTACACTGGCAGCTGAGAAGATGTAGGTATTTGTGTTATACAGCGGGTTTGGGGTCAGGGGTGGGGTTTAGGGGTGGGCGGGATACCAGACGTTGCCAGATAAGAGTGTAGAAAGCGTCACCACACAGCACCTCCCCAACTGCTGGTATTTTTTTCGTTCTTTCTCGACCATTTGCAGAAAATTCTGTGCCTTGTTCTGAATTTCTTTTCTTAGTCATGCTTTAAATGCCATTGATCATGTCACACCTCTAAAACCCCCTTCCCGAACACACTCACTCACACACACACACACACACACACACACCTCCACCATCTCTGATTATCGACATGCTGTCTGTTTTCCTATGAAGGTACATGAGTGCACACCTCAATGCATTCCCCTACACTGTGGGCATCTCCTTCAAAACACCATATCCTCTGTACTAAGAGCAGGCCTAGTCACATGGCAGCGTTTTGATTTACTCAATCCCAGGTCATCAGCATCATGAAGGGAAGTGCAAGCAGCTTCCTTCCTTCCTGTCCCCCAACAATTTGATGAGACCGGTGGAGAAGTGATCCTGGACGTTGCACCTGTTTTATTTTGACGGTGCGTCTGCATTGCTGCAGACTTCTTTTATCCTCTTTTTACTTCAGTTTTATTTTTCCTAATTATACTGTATGTGCCAGTACATTTGAATTTTGGAATGGGCAGAGGCGCAGACGAACAGTTCCTGCTACTCTGCACCTAGCAGAAAGCCCTTTCAGTTATTTATTGTTTCAATATAATGATGTCTTAGGTTTTGTCTGCATTTTCATTCAGAAACGCACATGCCATAATGACGAAAGAGTCGCCGTCACTGAAAAAGGTCTAAATGCTGTGGCTTTTTTTTTATCGTCTTATGCTGTAATTTTCCATGCAGGGCTGCTGAAGGTGACCCTCTAGCACACGTTAATAACTACCTAAAATTGTGTCAAAGCGAGACGTTTTCTGGTTTTAGAGTGTTTTGTTAGACTCAAGGGAGGAAGCGCCACAACTATCATGTTTGTAGATGTACAGAGAGGGAAGATGTGGAAATGATTTGATTACTATAACTTTACTACCTTAAAATGCATTTTAACAGCCAAAAAACATCTGCATTTGTGAATCTGGTTTGTAGGCGAGTCAGTAAGGATGTGACATTGATGTTAAGCAGTCCAACAAGTGTGTAAGGGTTTATGATTGCCTGTCAAGTGAATTGCCTGTTTGTTCTTCCTCAGAGGAAATAGTGGCGATTGCAGCTAGCTTATCCTAGTGATACTAGTATATTAATATAAACTGCCCAAATATCATAGACTACATGGTGCGAAAAAGCACCACAGCAAGATAATTTCCTCTTGTAAACAATGTGTGCTTTATTGTTTATAATTGCTGTGAGTTGCTCCTCCGGGTTCCTGCTTATGCTCAGCAGTCCTGGGCTTGAAATGTGGTTAGTTTGAATGGAAAGTGAAATAAACCGTCTTTATAAGAAAAAAGCTTTTAATAACATTCCAAATATTTTAGGAAAACAGTCTGTGATGTAATTACCCGATAACGTGGATTTCCCCCTATATTTACAGTCGTTGTCAACACATGACGCTAAACAAAAAGGAGCTCTCTTCGCTCCTGTGAACCAACACATTAGACATTTCACTGAAGCCTAGCTACAAACGTAGCACCCGTTGAGGGTACATAATATAAGGTGGATAAGCTGTCTAAAGTACTTTTCCCTAAAGAGAAGTATTTCTTCTCACTTCCTCATGACTCTCGCTGTAGTGTAAGTGAAGTTAGATGCCATAGTTTAGACCCTGCTGAAACCAACCTCAGTGTGTAAATAAAACGGCGAGGTTGAGGGGGAAAACACACTCTTGTTTGCTTTATTTTTCTTATTCAAAAAAACAACAAAAAAAACAAGCATCCACTGAGACATTTTAGAGTATGTGCATTAACCATGAGAAACACTTTGGACGCTTTTGTTTTTACTTAGAATACAAATCCGAGGGAATGTCTTGCAGCTTGATGGTTACCGTTGCAGTTGAGATATACAGTTGTGTGGCTTGTGCTTAACTAGTGAGCATCATTTAGCTTTGGTCTGGCAGCTTCTGAACAGGATTTCAGACATCCCTTCTCCTCTTTTGCGTACGTGAGAGACATGACATCAGTATACTAATTTGTGGTATTTAGACTGGGACGATGTACATTTTGTTCAACTTGTTATGTTAGACCTGTTTTAAATGTGATTAATGTGGTTTAATCCACTCTACTAGGCGTTTGAGGACTTCAGATAGATGGTCGATGGGGAGACGTGGTTACGCCAGTAATCTATATTTATCATCCGTTTCTTGTACAGCAAGTCGAAAAAGGTTTCATTGAAAATGTCCAAATATAACAACTAGTTTTGAGATGTGAACTGGGTTCGGTTTCAGTTTTGTAGTTTGTTGTTGTCATTGATTTATTAGTGCCCCCTGTTTGATAGTGCAACAGTGTTACTGGTTGATTTCTTTTATTTGAACTTGACAGTTTAATTTAAGCCCTGTCTCAGGTTCACGTACAATAAACAGTATGTTTGCATCTCAGGTAGAATGCAAAGTTACGGCCCCCGATTAAGAAAGTGGGAAAAAAATCAAGCTGGATTTCAAATCAAATGGAGAATTTGACATGTTTTGTTTTAATATTTTTGTTGTTCACTGTAAAACGTGTACGTAATGTACACGCAATATTGAGTATTATCTTTTTTTCAGACCTACTTCACACAGAGAGGACAGTAAAGGACCAACCCGATCTCATGAGAAAACGTAATTATTTCACGAGTTTTAGAAAAAAATGTAAGCATGAGAGTTTAAGCAAATTGTACGAAACCATACAAATGAGATTATACAAATTCACCAAACCGTAAAATAGTTACGAATTGCCATGAGAGTGTGTTGGGGAAAATTCAAAGTCGACATGTTTCTTGTTCTGGTTCCAGATAGGTTGGAAAGTGTTGAAAGTTTTTCATTCATTGTTTTTAGGTTGGTTATTTTTTGTCTTTCTGCTGTACTTGGGCAATGTTACTGTGTATTAATGAAGAAAAATGATATCCACATTCCCATACACATTTTGTATTTGTTCATATTAGACATTTTTACAAAAAAAAAATGGAGAGTTCTTGTCTTAATAAAAAAGAAAAGATATTAATGTTCAAAGTAATGATTGGTTTGGGCAGTGTTATTTTTTTCTGTGTGACATGAATCTTTTGAAGGTAAAGTCAAACTTCTAAAACCATGACTGAAAAAAGACATATATTTTGCTGTCATCAATGATCTACACAGAACTGGGAACAGAATCCATTTGAAAACTGACAGAATGTTGAGATTCACCATCTTCCATCTTATTTCCACAAAAGAGTGTTACATTAAATATTCCTTAAATATCTTTAACAATTCAGCTATTCTCAAGGTCCTTGGCATGTTCTTTAAGCCAGTGCACAACACCTACATAAGAGAGATTCAAATATTTCATTTATCATGTGATCACATACGAGAGTATTGAATTTAAGCTAAGTAAGCTAATTTTATTTCTAAATGCATTGAGATGCCTGCTAAAACACCCCAGGATCATTTACTGGCCTTTAAAGTTTACTTTTGCCTTAGAGCGAGTTCAAGAAATCCAGTCGGGGCTTACGCTTCCCCATCTCCTTATTATCCTTGGCATTCTCCAGCTCTGTCACACTTTTGCATTGTGCTTTTATTCCTGAACTTTGACCGAGGCAGCCTACAGAAAGAACATCTCTCCCAGGTACCCGCCGCTTCTTTCTCAAGCTGTCTCATGCCCGCACCCTGACCTCGCCGCCCAGTGGCAATCTCAGCGACACACTCTGCAGATGCCGACCTTGAGTTGTAGCTTCTCTTCTTTTTTTCCTCCCGCTATACGATGCCTGGTTTTTGATTGCCTGAGCAGGAGCTCAGCACCAGGGTTGTCACACTGCCAAGGCTCAAAGTCACCCTCTGCTCAGATGGGATGGATCTCAAGGTACAGGCAGAGAGGAGCACAGATGTCACGTGGAATCATCTCCATTCCAGAGAGAGACAGAACCAGGTCTGAGGGAGAACAGAGCGCCTTGTGGCTCAAGGCGATGACAGGATTTCATCATGTCCTGTAGCTTTGCTAGATTACAGCAGACTCTGCAAAGTTACACTATATCTGGATTTAAAATCACATGTTAATACTTTTTGACATTTTCTTGAGCAAATTGTTGCAATTTAAAGTGATATTTTACACTTCTGTCATCATTTACTCATACTCATGTCATTCCAAACCCTGATGCTGTTCAATTTCATTGAAGACAAAAAGAGAATTTTGATACTTGGAAGCAAATAGGTCATGGTTATTACAAAAAGTTTTTTTCTGCTTCTTCTTCTTCTTCTTCACAATGATGTCATATTTACAACCTGATGTTTTTTAAGTATTACTGCAAATAGTTTAAAGTTCGAGTTATAACTCCCCTCGTGCACAATATGTAAAACAATGACATTTGTTCACACAGTGAACATTAATTGGGGAAAAATAAATATATAAATTGCGGTAACACTTTATTTTGCAGTGTCCTTGTTACACATGTTGCATGTAGTTACTAGTATTAATACTAACTAACTGTAAATTAAGCATAATTAAATGCAAGTAACCCTAAACCAACCCCCAATCCTACCCTAACTCTTTAGTATGTAGTTGCTTAATATTACTCAGTACTTGTATAAATGTATATTTACACTGTAACAAGGACACCCTAAAATAAAGTGTAACCTCAATTGTTGATGTCCATTGCAATCTTAGAACCAATTTTATTTTTTTAATAAAAAACTTGTACATGTTTTCTTTCCTTAAAAAATGTTAAATCTATATTGGAAGTTTCTCTTCATTTCCTCCTATGGTAACTTCATTATATGACACAAGTATATGAAAAGAACTGCATGCAGATTCTTCAGAAATTCACAACAATTGAAGCAACAGCATACAGGTCTGGAATGACATGAGGGTGAGTAAATGTGTAATTTTAATAATTGTAATTTTGTGTGAACCGTCCCTGACTAACAGACATCAGGTCTATTGCGATCTCATATAGAGGGAGAGCTCACCTTTACAGACTCTAAATGGATCCATTGAAGGTAGTTGGAAAGGGGAAAGTCATTCACAGCATCAATGGTGTCTTAATAGCATTGGCCCTCCACTCACTGCAGTCTGGGTCCACAGGTGAGAAGGGGACCGATTCCTGAAATTGCAAGTGATTTACAAGGATAGAGATGGAAGAATATTCCATTAAAGCCAATATGGGTTTTGTCTCTATACAGGCATTTATTGACATCATATTTGACTCAAAAAGTACTTGGACACTTGTCACATTTAAAGATTTAGTGAAATAAAATATCGAAGCAATTGGTGTTTGTTTGAAAGAAAAGTTGCACAAGCACACTCAAGCTCTCACTAAAAGAGGTCATTATAGGATTTAATTGTCAATATAAAACAATAGTTTTAGGCCTGGTTTCACAGACATGGCTTAGATCAAGCCAGGAGTCGGGTTTAGTTCAATTAGGAAATTTAAGTAAACGTGCCTTAGAAAAAACATTACTGGTGTGTAGTATCTTGAGACTAAACAATGGCAGTGACATATTTTAAGATATGTCAGTGCAAGTTACTTTCAGTTACAACAGCCTAAACATGTGTTTTAGTCTGGGATTAGTCTTAAGCCTTGTCTGTGAAACCAGGGGTTTCTGTTTAAAATTAAGTAACTGGGCACTTTCTGCTTGTTCATATGATGAATTACACATATGGTTACTCTGATAGGACGACTGTGTGAACGTGAGGAGAAATTACTTCATATATCCACTCAAAACCAATGTTCAGAAGTAATTGGAAAAAAAATCAATGCAAAGACTTTCAGACATTTTTAAGTGTGACTTAAGTGTCCATATACTTTACTGTAACAACTGGTAATTATACGTATGCAATAATAATGACCCTTCCTATGCCATTTAGGATGAATTACACCTTTGTCGGCTGGAGACCCAAGTTTGGTTTGAAGACGAAAAATGTATCAAGCACAATGTTCTCACCGTTGCTGATTTCTAACACACACTCACAGCGCTTGGCGTAGTCTTGCGGCTATCAGAGCAGAAATGAAAGCTGCTGCTCTCCGTATGTTTTTCTACCGTCTTCGGTGCGTTCATCGTGTCACATGAATGATTCATAAATTGCACAAGCTTATTTTGTCAATTAGATTGAAAGATCTAACAAACAAACAAAAAACACATAGCCCTACACTTAGACATAGACCCTCCCCTCAAAGAAATCAGGACAGAAGTAGTCAAAAGAGATGGATTAAAACACCAGGAGTAAACGGTCATGTGTCTCCCTCGTCTACTTGTGATCCGATCGATCAAAACGCATCTTAATACCATGTGTAAACAGGGCCTATGAGGTAAGGATGAAAAACTCAATGTGATTTGCATATTTCGTTCCGTTCCTCTTCTTGCTGATTGGAATGGATTTTAATTCAATTGCTGATCAAGCCAGTCAGCGACATGTCAAGAAACTGCACACTGTTAGAAAAGTACAGCAGACTTGTGTGAAGTCTAAAGCAGAGTTTGTGTACAGCCTCCATTATTTCTATTTAATAAAAGACAAACAAATCCCAGCTGGTGTCACCTAAAACATCTCACTAGTGTGTCACAATGAGTAATAAGGCTGCTAACAGCATGTAAGTCACTGTGAACCTTATTTATGTCTTTGAAGTCTTTTCGGCTGACTTTCTTCTCATCTCTTGTTAGCGGGATGCAGAGATTTCTGCCATGGCGACAGCCTCTCGGGGGGTCTGAGGAACAACAGCTCTTTATACGACTTCTTAATGATCTAGGATCTGTGAAACAACTCCCATATTCTTCTTATTAGTTCTGTGTTGTTCTCTAACTGCACCAGCCTGCTTGCAAACTGCAGTTTCCCAGATGGCAAACATTTGCTTTGATTTTAGCCGAAGCGAGAGGGTGTTAATGCGACTTTGATGAAGGTAACAGTGTTTGTTATATAATACACCTATAGTACACCTACAGCTGCAAAGCAGCAAGTGTAATACTTTTCAGTAATCATCCATTCAAGCTGAAATATGATAAAGAGCAATGTTTGCATTGCAGGCAGGAAGGCGGACTCTATCAAACTTTCAGTTGGCACAGGATATCCAGATGTAAATGCTTCCTAATAAAGTCAGCTCCAATTTCTTTTCCTTGTGCTTCCCCCCGTATCCCCGGCACATAGGTGAGTCGGCTCTGTATATAGGCCTCCTCTCATGCTGATTGGATAGATCATCCGAATGTGTTTCTCCTGAACTTTGTTAATAAAACATCATTTGCTATCAGGATGTGAAGAGAGTTTCAACCAGTATAACAAAAAGTGTTTATAAAACAAACTGCTTATTTTTCTATTTAATGTTTATTGGTAGAAAATTGCTGCTTTTAGACGCGTCCTCTTTTGGTAACAAGGTTACAATGAACTGAAAATGAAACCGCTCATATAAATGATCAATTTGCATGGACATTTTCTGCAAGCTTAAAATCTTTCATTGAACATTTAGTGAAGTGCATATTTTTTAAAGAGTTTCAAGGCCTGTTTCGTACTCTATTCATGCAAGTGCTTG